ACAAACGATTTTATAATTTAATATTTTTAAATCCATGGGAAAAAGAAAACAAATCATCCGAGAAACTATATTGGTTTTGTATATTTAAAAAAGTTTTGATGATTCTACCAATTAAATAGTTTACTGAATTTAAAAAGAATTTCAGATTTCCTTAAAATTGGTTTAAAGATTTTCTCGTTGACCAAAAAAAAGGTCTAAGGATTTTCTAAGATTATAAGATTCTTTGACTAGAGGATAATTATATTAGAATTTTTTGTAAAGTTTCTCTACAAGTATTGCATAATATTTTTTGTTTTTTATTTGTTGTTATCTACTAATTAACTTTTTGTTAACTTGTTTTTGTTAACTTTTCATTTTCTATAAATTGTCTCAAAGTTTATATGAACATTTTCCAAAGTACCCTAAATTCGCAACATTTTTTTCGTTTCTAATTTATATATTGGTGTGTTCATACAGTTTTTTCTAATATATGTTTGTGTATTTGCACAGTTTTTCTTTTGATTTTGTATGTGTGTTCATATAGTTTAGTTGTGTTCTTTTGCTCTTTATTTGAGTTATACCTTCCGTTCCATTTTCTTTTTTAATTTGTTTATCGATTGATTGAATTTTAGTGATAGAGTATGTGTTCATGTTAACTCAAGCGTATGTGTTCATGTTTGCATTCATCAATCGTGAGGTTTTGTGTTTTTTATATCATTTGCACTCGTATCCATCCATGATCATCCATCAAAATAGCTAAAACGCCACATGAGTTATGGAAACAGGGGATATATACCACTTCAATGTGTCATGAAGTGATTTTGAAAATAGGAAGGGAAGATTAATCAACGTTGTTTGGGTTTAAGAAAAACCACATCACACACTTTCTCCTCCAAAGCTTGCAAATAAGGAATCAGAAACTCTTGGGAACGTTCGGAAGCACAGTGGAAACGCGATTTCAGACAAATCAAATTGGGAAGCATTTTGAAAATTTCGATTTTGGTTTGGAAGTTTTTTTTTAACTTTGGAAGTGGAAAAAGTAAACAATTACTAAAATTTAAAGATAAAATTTAAGCGTAAATAAACAAAGCATATTTGTAACGCCCGTGAACCAAAAAGGGGATTTTTTTGGCATGTGTGTCGATCCACGGGTAAAAATCAGACCGACGGTTTCGGTTTCTGATTTGGGCCGGTTTAGAAAACCCTAGGGTTTTGTTATAAAAGCGTGGGGGACGCGTTTTCTCCTTTTTTTGGCCGAAACCAGAAGAGGTTGAGAGAGAAAAGAGAGAAGTGATTTCCTTGAGAGAAAATCAATTCTGCTTGGGTTTTTGGAAGAGATGATCGGCTGAGAAGATGGAATCGGATCAGAGTGAAACTTTGAGGGTAAGTTCTCCACTCTCTAATCTTGATTCAGGAGGAAACRGTTTGTAAATCGGATGTGYATTCTGAGAGTTATCGTTCTTTTCCCSAGAGRGGTTTCTGCAGTTTCGTKTCTGYGATCAGTCCGCTTCGAGGGAGGATTTCCGTCGAACCAGAAAGAATCAGGAGACGATCCATATGCCGTTGGAAAGACCTCACTGTCTAGTTTCTAGATCAGGGTTCTGATCCTGTTTCGGAGGTAATCTCCGTTCTCTATGTTCTTTCGATTTCAGGGTGTCGTTTCTGAAATCTTTGTTTTTTTCCAGTTCCGATCAGCGAGATTACGGGCTGTTTTCCCGTTGAATTTTAGGCACGCAGAGGATGATCTACATACCGTTCTCTCTGTCTAGTTTTCAGAACAGTTTTCCGATTCTGTTTCGGAGCTGTGGTTGATGAGATAATCGATTCCGAAATCAAGGTGAGTGCGCGACCATAGACCCTCGGATTAGGATATGATGGAATATGATTGATTGCTGTTGTTCCTGGTTGTATTCGTGTTTGGATGTTGAATTTTGTGCAGGAGATCGGGAAAACGCGTCTGGAATCGATCCATGGGAGGATATGATCGATTCTGGTTTTCTACGTTTTCTGGGCTCCGTCTCGAGCGACACACGGTGTTTGTGTTGAGCGACACAGACT